CTATTTTAACATCCATCGTGAACAAAGGGCCGGTAGTTTGCATCGTGGCTAACTGTATCGACCCCGCTAACATTAATAGGTAACGTATATGAGAACGATCCTTCGCAGTAAAGCACTATTTGAGCAATAGTGAAAATCAGACCTGAAAAAAATTTTCACTTACAGACGAGAAACCATTTTTTGTTGTTTTCACTATTGTATTCACTATTGTTTTCACTATTTTGTATTCACTATTGTTTTCACTATTGCTCAAATAGTGCTTTACTGCGAAGGATCGTTCTCATATACGTCTCATAACCGCAGTTCACACATATGTTTCATATGTTTGTTGTTCATTAATAGGTAAGCTGCCTAACATTTTGTCAGAGTACAATTTTGTTTTGTTTTTATCGAGATTTGAGAGTTAGTTTTGCCCTTTGAGCTCTTAATGTTACCTCTGTTGATTCAAATGCAACCGCTTCACTGAATAAGTTTTGCGCACAACTTCGATAATTTTATTTAGCTTATCACTACCGGGTCGTTATCTACGGGTGAATGATAGGAAGCTTGGAGCTTTTGAGACCTAGCCAAAATAGATCCACTTGCGCATGCCTTTCGTAGATTGTCGTGTTTAACCATTTATTTAGTGACTTGTTTGTCTGTTCGAGGCCACTTACCTGTTTTACTCCGGCAAAGGAGGGCAAGAAAGCGGGCAAGTTCGCGTTCGTGTCCGCGAACCCTTAACAGCTCTTCCTCCGCTCGCCCCAAACTTGTTGTGATCTCGGAGGAAATAGAGGATATGTGAACAGGCTATAAAACTTGCAAATGATAATTCATAGAGCTGTAGAAATGGTATATTTTATTCTTAAATTTGTGGTCAAACGAGATTGTTTCGGTACTGTTTTTGTTTGAAAGGCCAACCTTAATTTCCACGGAAGAGGAAAAAGTAAGTCGAAGGGAGGGGGTGATGGAGCGACAATATCTTGGTAGTTTAATTCATTTTGACTTACATGCAGACGTTAGAAGTTTAGGTTTGAAATGCGAAAATTGTTGAAAATTCAAGTTAAATGAAGGTCATTCGAAGATGGAGTTTCGTGTTACTTTAGTCGATTATGATTTTCGACACGTTTACACACATTTTTGAAATGGAACATCGCTGCTTACTTTGTTGGCACTCCTGGACACAATCAATCGCTGAATTTGAGAGTGCGTCAAATCCATGGGCATTGACTTCTAGAGTCCGTCTGAAAATATGCGAGCAGTTTTCAATTCTTGATTTAACTATCATCGAGCAATTTTTGAGAAATATCAGCTTAGATGATTTCACGTGTAATTTTGATACGAACTTGTTTAGAGCCGACAAACTGTTGAACTGTTTACCTGGAGTAATCGGCTTAAGCTAGTGCGCATGCTCGTGGGCATATAAATACATTGGCGCGCGAACAGTGTGCGTCAGCAGAGCCACGAAAGTCATAAGGGGTTAGAGACAGTAGCTAACAACCATTTTAAGGTAAGTTGTAGTTAAACATCAACTAAACTTTCAATTATATTTTTGTCGCATTTATTGCAACTCAGTTTATTCTTAATGCTACCGTAGTACAAATAAGCCCAAAATGCAGTTTAAGAGTAAGCTGTAGTAAATTGAGGGATCAATTCGAGAGTTCTTTTTGGGAATGAAGTTTACAGTTTGTTCAATTGAATCCTGGGCCTTTTAAACAGTATGAATATAGGACATTTTATTTATATGAGGGGAGCACGTGCAAGAAGCTTTTTGAAGCTTGGAATAACTGAAGCTGAGCATGATATAATAGTGTAATGAGACTTACTTACCCTATTCTTTCAACATCTCATCTCACATGAAATGTTCATAGTGACTCGAGAGATCATTTCGATCAAACGTTTTTACGGTAGGCCCCGGTATGTACTGTTGAGTTTACAATTCTGTACGCGTTGTTTTAGAGCGAGTCTAATGTAATAACCAAGGATGCAAATTACTGGCCTTTAATTCGCGATTTGGTGATGACAAAGAGTAAAGTGTTACACGACACTCGCTGAACCCCTGGAAACATACCTAGAAATATTTACATTAGATAACAACTTTCCTTCCACATTAATTTTCTTTGGCAAATTTTAGGTTGAGATGCATAGAAGAGATCACAAAGATCAGGAAAAGTTTGGGTTGAACGAAAACAACTTTTCAGTCACTTGGGAATTTACTCCGAAAGATTTGAATGTGTCGCTTTTCGGTTACTTTACCTCCAAATATGATACTGTCAGAGTCAACCGTCACTCAAGAGGTAATTCGACTTAGCTTGCTCTTCAGGATAACTTTCAACCATGATTTTATCTATTTACTGTGGTTTAGCTGGGATGACTGCTCTTCTTAGAAAAACTATTGTTAGAAAACTCTGCCTTTAGTTAGGAAACATGTTGTCTGCTTTGTCATTAGCTGTGTTGATTTTCTTTTGTTTTTTATGTTGTAATTATTACCACGAGCTTCGTTCTGCCTGGCGACATACAATTGTTAATCAAGACCGAACATCCAAAACAGAAAGATGCAAAGCACCGTAATGAGCCACTGTGATTGTGGACTTTATCATGGAAATTCAGTTTTACCTACTTCCACTCTCCTGGGAAACGTTGAAAAACAACTTTCTGATTGCTTTATGAGAAACATTCTCTGTTAGCAGAGTTGTTGCTAAGAAGCAAAAAAAAAAAACAATGTGAAGTGAATCCGAAGTTTAAAAGGGAAAAGATTTGCTGTAAAAATTGGGCGCACCCCAGAGCTGATTTTCAACTTCATCACGAAAGGATACGCATGTCACGTTATACGCCTAACTGTTAACGCATGCTACAAGGCTGTGGTTTTTTTATCAAAACAGGTGCCCGATCTAAACATGTGTTCGAATTAAAGTAAAAATGGTCAGGTTTTTTTCGCAGACGTGATTTCAGTAGACACAATTCTATCAATAGTAATTAACTGTGCTTCTGGAATAGTTATGATATTTCACATTCTTGAAAGTTCCTGAGGGATCTAACTTTTTGTTATGGCCGCTTCGCTTGTTCCGGTGATGAAAGGTTAAGCGGATTTTTTAAAAAGAGGAACGGAAGGTTAAGAATAACTTACAAAGATTATGAAAAAAGGAAAAAATCGACAATGGAAAATAAAGAGTTTAATCTCAAGCCTAACCAAACAATGATCTACAGAAGTAAGCGGAAATCTAGATAGACACCCTTCTCTTGAAGGGTCATGGGTCAAAGGAAAGAAAGGCAAAGACCAATTGCAGCACTGCTAAATTTAAGCTTTCTGAGTGTCTCTAAACTTTCCGAGTGTTCTCTCAACATTCCAAGAGTCTTTATCACGTTCTAGAGCTTGGTTTGAGGTTTTCTCACTCGTGTGTCGGGTTCTCTGCGGCCGCCTTCCCAGTAGATACTAGTGGTTAGTAGGATTAGAGAGGCCTATGGGGGAAGCTTTAATTCTCTAGGAATGCGCACATATGACCACACCCGAGGCCACATTCGCGGCGTTTTAGGTCATATCACATAAATGACGAAGAAAAAGAGAAGTTTCTAGTGATGCATGCTGCTATATGCTCATTTCCATTCCTTAGATAATTCCGAAGATGGTCCAGAAGTCCGGTTTATATGCGGAACAGCTGTTCCTCTCAAGGTTGAGCTCCCAACCCAAATTCCGGTGGGACTTAAACTCATTGGAGCAAAAGTCCAGTCAGGAATTCATCACGCCGTGCTATGCTCTCAATCATTAATTACCAAGGGTACGCGATATGGTCCCTACAAAGGAACGGCAGTTAAACCGTCGGATGCCGCCAATAGTGATAACACCGCTTTTATGTGGGAGGTAAGAAAGGAATGATAAGTTGCGAACACATTATTTTCTCTTGCTCACAGTAGATAAGTTAATAATGAAGCTCGCAGAGCGTAGCCCCATAATTATACAAAATGGTAGTAGTAACCCATCGCGGCGAAAAAATTTGGACTTATGACCGTACGAGCGTACTTACAAGGTGCTACTTTTAGCATGCACGGTCAACTGTACCGCGGGCACGCCAACGCCACGGCTTTGTCCAATAGTCCAGTGGTCTGTGCACTGGGCTTCGAGTCGGACGACCCGGGTTCTATTCCTGGCCGGGGCAAGGCGTTGTGCCCTTAAGATGTGTGGGAAAAGAAAATGCGAGCTCCGCTTTTAGGCTTGGCTAAATCTATATATTATTTCATGTGCCAACAACTAACCTTGTTTGAAAATGTCTATTTTTACTTTTCGTGTGAGATTTTTTTCTTCGGAAGGGAGGTTTTATTCTCCTATCATTAATAGAATGTAATTTCCGTTTTACAAAGCCCCAAGGGCTCCCTAGGGAAGGGATGACGTTTGGAGCGTTAGCCCTTCGTCAGGGCCAATGAATGTCCCGCTCTGACGAAGGGCTAACGCTCCAAACATCAGCTTTAGAAATTCTTTCCGGCCACTTACGCCATCAACTCAGTTGCTAAAACCAAGTTTTCTTGTACTGAACTGGATTGCTACACAAGAATGACAAACGTTTCATTGAATTGATTGACCATGACGTCATGTGTCTAAGCCCCACAAGCCCAGGGGATGTGTTGATGCTTTGCTTTACTTTACTTTAATCATTTTCTCAACAAACTTAACACATATACAAAGCTGAGGGGAAGGCCAAGAAACAGGAACAGGTTCCCTTACAAAAGGCCACCCAAAAAAGAAAAACACTACACATACCTATATATAGATATAATAATAATAAAAATAATATTAATAATAATAATAAATTATGTTAATTCAGCGTCTAGCTGGTATAAATAAGCCTTACAAAGACTTTTCTATGGAAATAGGAATATTTTAGCATGTTTGTTCTCGCATATTGAGTTTTAAATGACAGATCAGCATTTCTTAGTTCATATGCTGCATTTTTTCTGGAAATAATAAAACTAGATAAGTTAATGTTTAAGAATCCCTTAAACGTTTGCAAAAGAAGATCAAGTCAAGTAGAGTCCTTCTAGGCTTAAAGGTTAGAAGATGGAGAGATTTCAACCGCTCCATGTAAGATTTTCCTTTGATCATAAGTCGCGTGGCTCGTCTCTGAACGCTTTCAATCATGTCCTACAAAAAGGCTTGGTGAGGGGACCAGATTTCGCAGGCGTACTCAAGGTGAGGCCGCACAAGGTGTATCTAAAGCTTGCGAATCACAGCAGACTGCTTTAATTTTATGATGTCTCGCGCTAAAATATACATTACGGAAGAATTCATCTATTTATGACCACATAACCTTAAATTTCTGTCACACTTTCACAAGGTTTTCAGTAATGGGGATCTCAGCCATTATATTGATGGGAAAAACGAACCCGAAAACTGGATGAAGTTTGTCAACTGTGCTAGACATCCTGGCGAGCAGAACCTGGTGTTAGTTCAAGATGGCGACCAGATATTTTACGAGTGTTGTCGAGATATTTCACTGGGCGAAGAGCTGCTAGTTTGGTACGGCGATTGCTATGTTCTGGCCATGGGGATTCCCGTCGGATTCAATATTGATGCTTCAAAGAGTGAAATTCGGCAAAAGGAGTGGACAGGTAAATAAAACAGGGATGTGGCATATACTTCAATCACTTAACTTCTCTTTTTTGTTCTTTATCTTACGATTATTTCATAAATAATGGTAACTAAAAGGTCACCCGGGTTGATTCAAATAATCCTTACCTTTCTTCATAATTCTCATCAGATCCATCAACCGAATACTCATGTGAACGTTGTGGTAAAGTGTTTGCCTACAAATATTACCGTGACCGCCACCTTAAATACACCCGCTGCGTTGATCAAGGCGATCGTAAGTTCCCATGTACTGTCTGTAATCGATCCTTTGACAAACGGGATCGGCTTCGTATCCACGTTCTCCATGTTCATGAAAAGCATCGTCCGCACCAGTGCACAGTGTGTGGAAAACGCTTTTCTCAGTCGTCCAGCCTCAATAAACACATGCGGGTTCACAGCGGAGAGAGACCCTACAAGTGTCCACATTGCGTCAAAGCATTTACTGCTTCCTCCATTCTTCGGACACACATTCGTCAGCACAGCGGAGAAAAGCCGTTCAAGTGCAAGCACTGCGAACGTGCATTTGCGTCACATGCAGCACATGACAGCCACGTGCGCCGCACTCACACGAAGGAGAAGCCTTGTGTTTGTGAATATTGCGGCAAGGCCTTTGCTCAATCATATGAACTAAAGTTTCATATCAACATGCACACAGGAGCCAAACCTTACACCTGTGAGAAGTGTGGCAGAGCATTTTCAAGTCCTTCGTCACGTGACCGACACCGTGCTAATTTTGACTGCATCACAAGAAAGAATCGAGCTCCAAAAGTCATGCGCAAGAACCAACTTTTAAATACAGCATGAATTTTGACTGCTTAAAAACTAGGAGCTGACGATGTGAATGTGAATCGTGTATGGAAAGAAGCTACCCAAAAAATAACTGCTCACCTCTAATGTCAACCATTTATGTCTTTTGTAAGCATTTTGTATTTGTCTATGAATTAAAACGTAATATTATTGATGTGATACGTGCATAATAAATAACTAAATATTGTGTGAGGGCACTTTTGATGTTCAATTTATGGCTAACTCTGCTGTCCGCCAGATTTGTGCTCCCCATTTCAATACGGTTTTCCTTTTAGATCGCTAATAAATCTGTTCAGTCCATTATTTTACTTCGATCGTGGTGAAATAATGCCATAATACAAATATAACTGAGTGAAAACTATAAGGGATCATCCAGGCCCCGTTACGCTTTAATTTGTGCAATTCTTGACATTGTAAGTACCACCGTAACCAGGGAAACATGGGCCAGCACTTGTTCTCATGTGGTGTATTTCTTGACCTGAAAAAGGCTTTTCACACAGTCGATCATAAAATTCTAGAGTAGTTGGCGTAAGTGAAAGAATCCTGGCTTAAAACAGGGCAGTCTAAGGGCTGCCAAGGATCTTTTCTCAGTCTTTTGAATAAAAAAAGCTTTATGGTTTTTCAGATACTATAATAACACATAATTGATTGCCACGGTTACTTGCCTCTGATCACTTGTTGTCGGTGAAAAGAGAGTAAGTTATAGATCCACACGGAGGTAGTAATAAAAAAGGTTCCGCTTCTTGACTTAAAGTTAGGTACCATGTTGGTCAGGATGCGCGGCTGTCCTCAGTAAACGCTACTTTTCTATTCTTTGATGTTCTGCGTCGATTCGAAGCTTCAACTGGCAACCTACAGGTAGCCGACGGGCATTGTGCGAATAAAAAATTCAGGAGCTAGTTTACGAGAGAATGGCCATTTCTTCCCCTTCAGTGGCTCTTCGACGAGACAAGCCACCTTGTTTGGCGTAGGACGTTTGTGTGGTAAATTTGGTTATTTTTTCGCGTAAGTACGTGTATGTGGGGAAAAATTTGTGTCATACTGAGGAATTCACTTAGGTGTTAAGGTTGTGTGTCTTCACCGTAACACTATCTCTTAACAAAAGTGCACAAAAATTTTAATTGGTAAACTTATCAAACATCTTTTGGAAGTGATTCGTTTAACTAATAACACGAGCTTTCAACGAGCAGTCAAACCTGTTTGCAGCATGAAGAATTAAAAGTCCCACGATGCAGTCTAATTACAGAATCACATAGTTCTTCAAGATCATACAGAATCTCTCACTTTAATTAGTACACGAAAACATACATAACTGTAATTCAATCAAATTATATATAAAAAAAAATTCAAAATATAACAAATACACTATATGTATCATACCAGTGCTGTACTAAGCAGCACTACCACTTAACTATTTTATGGTCAGAGAAGCAGTAATGATTCTTTAAAGCAGTGCTTATGTTCACCAATTTAAGCCACCTTAAATTACAGTCGCAAAAAAATTTACAGGCCATATGAAAACATTGCAACAGTTTGGTTTTACTGGTCCGTAATAATTTTAACTATCACAATTTTGTGGAATGTGATTGGTGGAAGAAGTGCCTTCTTTTTTACAATAATTCTGTAGACTTGTAACTGAACAGTGTTATCAAACAGTTGGTTGTAATCAGACAGTTACATCAAACAATCACACTAAGCATACTCATATGAATCCACCAATCACAGAAACCACTGCATTGGCATACCATCCCAAGCTCAAACCTGTCTCTGGAGCTTTTCAGTGTATACTTGTCAAAGATTGTAATGGTAAATATGTAAGACGGCCAAAACGGTCGACGTAAGAACAAAAGATCCGGGGGAAGATTTACAAGTTTATTACACAGCAAATAGATGCAACGGTACAAAAAAAACGGGAACGAGTGACACAAAAGGTAGTATAGCTCGGAATCCGCTATAAGGGCACTATCAGGAAGGCAACAAATCAACTGAACTTACCGAGCAAACGGTTGTAACTTATAGTAAAATACAGGAAAAGGTAAAAATAACTTAAAACCAAATATGGGCTGGGAGCGGTCAATTAAACAGGAATTACATAAGGGAAATCGGTGTTTACTCTTACACAACAGGACAAGGGCAGGTACGGGAATAATACAATTAACACATTACTAACACAACACAGTACTAACACAATTAACACATTACTAAAATTACTGGCAAATCACTAAAATTCCAGAAAATAAAATAAACAGAAGAAAAAACATGTTTTAAGTAGAAAATAAGCCTAAGTGACTCTGTCACAAATAGTTAAAAGATTGAAATTACTAGCCTTTCTTTCAACAAACACACTTTGTTTTCTTGGAAATCGTCATGGTTATATTTCACTGGTAACAAGATTTTGTGTTGTTAATTATATCAGCAATCAAATGTGTGATTAATAAATCATACTCCAGCTTCAAGATTGTCAGATTTGCCTAATCACTTGTATGATCACTAACCCAATTGGCCTCCATCAAATTTTACGATATTATCCAAAGAGGGGGGGTAAATATATATGTAGCTCACTATCTATTTATCATCAAGTGTAATCAATTAAACATGGCAGGTTCTGCAGACAACTGTGCCTAGCCAATTTTTTTTTACATCCTACATCACATGGCAATTCAGAGGTAAACAAGAGCTTCCCCTCTGAGTGAGTTGTCTTTTGTCCCATCTATTCCTCTTAGCACTTTGTCTGTATTTCTTCAGAACTTTTCTGTGGTCTTGAGGTGGCCAGCAATGCTTTTCAAAGAACTGACTGTGTTCACTAACAATCAATTCAAACTCTTTCTCGACGCTTTCATATTTTAGGAAGTTTAAGCCAATGACATATAGGCACCACTCTGTCACCTGCTTAGCATTGAACATCTGAGGAAAAGAGCAACAGGGACAAAATACTGACTAAATACAGGTAATTCCAAAAGATAACAGAAGTGGTAAAGGATGGGGAAGGAATAAGTGAAGCATGTGATCCAAAAAATTCCAGCACTTAATAAAACCAGAACTAATAAAATTTCTGTATTATAAGAAGAAATTTATAGGTTAAAGTTTATCTTATCATCCACACTGGTTAAAATAAAACATTATGTGGAAAATAGGGGCATACAGCAGAGTAACACTGATGGTGTTGTATATCCACTTACCTTGGAGAATGCCAGAACATCTAACAAATCTTTTTTTGTCATATTCAACAATCCTTTATGCATTTGAACTTCACAAATCTGTACTAAGCGGGTTAGACACAAGCAATCAGCAAGAACAAGCACATCCTCAACTGGAATATTCCCTAGGGAAGTACAGTTATCAGTGTACAGGTATTCCATCACAGCTAAAAAGGTTCTGTAGTCAACTCCTGGCAAAGCTACCTGAAAAAACATTCCATAGTAAAATGCTCTTTAACATGTGAGCAAATGAAAATAATGCAAATCTTGCTTACTTCTGACATTGGTTCTGTTTCTCAATTGTTAGCTTGAGTTGTTTGCACAACAAAATATCTTGACATCTATCACCTGTTGTCATCATCAGTTTTAAGACGCTAGCCCTTTTCATTCCAATTAAGTATTCTTTTGCACATTTTTACTCATTTGTGAGGTTTTGTAAAGGTGTATTTTGATCAGAGATGGGGCAAAAAGATGGAAAAATCACCTTGATCATTTTAGCTTCCTGCTGGATACGAGACGGTATTTTAAATTCTTGTACAGTGGAATCTCGATTTTACAAAATGCCAAGGGAAGGGAAATTGGTTCCTACTATTGAGGGTTTGTTATATCAAGGTTCTGTGGCACACATTTTACTGTAACTTTAGCCAGGCTGAAACTTGAGTATAGTTTATTATACCAAGGACTTCGTTATGTAGAGTTAAATCAAGGTTCCACTGTATGTCGATCGTTCCACGTTTTTGTTCAGTTATATGAACAGAAACCAATGAAGGAATTTGGGGATAGAACCAAACCAAGTGGGGAAGGCAGGGGATAATGCATTTAACCCAAGATTTATGCCTACCTTGAATTAATGTCTCAAAGATTAAAATCAAGTTAGTGAGTGAATTTTAGGTCTATATGGAGGCCTCATTGTATGACATAGTCATACCATATGTCATACCATGAGGTAAAAAGGCTAAGCCATGCCACATGTAGAGATAAAAAGAAATAACCTTTTAACTAATCACCCATAAGTTCCCAAAGCAGAATACTAAAGCTGACTCAAAAGAAATAACCCACCTGAGGGCTTCTACCATCTGCAAACTTATCACTCAAAAGAGCAGCAAAAACAGGTGATCTGGCAACAAGCACTGCTTTATGGGCAAATACCAGTGTTCCTTCTATGATAAATGTCACATCAGAATACAGAGCCATGTCGTCATCAAGAAAGAAATCTTTCACTACAGTGTGTTTTGGCAGCAGGGACATCTCAGTCATCTCTGAATGATTCAAAGCATCCTTAACATCAAGCAGATACTCACAGATATCCACCAACTTCACAACTTCTAGCTTCTTTGCCACATTTAACAGTTTGTCTATTTCCTCATGTTCACTGTTTTTTGATATTCTCACCTCACCTGTATATAAGAACTCTAAAATTTTAACAAAGATATCATGGGAAAACCATTTCTTCAAAACTACACAAGTCTTTCCTTCAAAATCAGTTTCCTTAATCATAAAACTATCCTGAAATTTTTCGCACAAATTCCAATTCTTTTCAAAAAAAGCATGTCTAAAAGCTGATATGTGAAACCAAAAGACAATTTTGTGTGCAGGAATGCTTTGACTCCCATCTTCAAATTTGAAAAGAATATCTGCATAAGCAACATCTTCTAGAATTCTTGTGAAGTCACTGACATAAGTTGAGGGATCTGTTGTTAACTGTGGAGGGGAGCCTGGGGATCATAAAAATGAGTAGTAGTTAATAATCAACCAGGTTTGTTTGAGCATAATGAATGCTAAGCTGAATATATTGGGGTGTGAAGTGAAACACTTTGCTCTACTAGTGTATCTGTCAATCTTCTAACCATTAGTTTATCTTTCTTTCTTTTTTTAAGATAAAATTGTAACACTTAGTCATCCTGTGTAGCTTCCTTGAGTCTGACACTTGACTAATTAATCAGTGATGACATCATTATATCTGATGGTTGGAGAGTTTCTGTGTGCTAATGATGTCTTCTTTTTTACAAATGTCTACCCATTTCAACTGAAGAACAGCTAAAATGCTGATTAACCTCTTATCTTGAACATTCTAACTCTTATGTGAGACCTGCCCTACTGTGATAATTATATCCGCCATAGTACCGTGGAGGCGAGAAATATATGAACTATATGTAGTACTGTGCAAAGTTGAAAATAGATTTTAAATTACAGAGACCCATGGATTAAAAATGGCTACCTCTCTTGGAAGACTGCATATCAAATGGACATCTGGCTTGGGAAACCCACAATTGAACCTATCTTATCATTAAATACTTAACAGGTTTCCCTTAGTTTCCACACCAATTCAGGTTTCAGATCAAGTGCCCTGCCTTCCATATAATAGAGACTGACCCTCTACAATTGTGGGATAATTAAAATCTTGGTGACGAAAGTGTTAGAATACCTTAAAGAACCAGATATCCCCACATCTTTTGTTAACAATCTACGCAACTGAAATCTTAACATTGATTCTTAGACTAGTAATTTCACATGACTGGGAAGGTTAAAGTAAGAAATATGTGTTGAATGGATTGGTTTTCAATTCAATATTTCAAGTTTTTAGTTGAAAAAAAAATCTATTCATACTTTAATTGTTTACTTTCTCAAGTGACTCATTACAACACAATGAATATTGCAATGCATCAACACCAAGTTCAAATGTATGTGTGATAGATGCATCCACTTACTGATGGATGTGAGAGATCTCAAGTATAAATCAGCAAACTCTGTCTTCATCCTCTTTCTGCCACCCAACTTCTTGTTATTGATGTGACCAATCTTCACAGCATTTGCAAAAGCTGATGTCACATTCTCACCAGTCTTGGCACTCGTCTCAACATATGCACACCCTACCTGATGTGCAATACTTTCTGCTTCAGAAACTGTTACCCAGCAATGAGATTCACTATTAAGAAAAGTAAATTTGTAAAAAAAAATTTTATATGCCGATTACACCATGCCTCTTGCAAAAAATATAATTTTTTGTATCCTAATTGATTGTTGATTTTTCAAACTTAAAAAAGAGGCACTACAACAGCAAACAATCAGGATTTTCATTTACTAAGCCAGCTGAAGTTAATATTGTCTTTGAGAGCATAAGTTCCCCACCAAATGACAGTAGTCCCAAAATTAATCAAGCTCAATCAAATGGATGACAAAGAAAAAAAAAAAGATTTCCAGGGGGGTTCCAGACCATCTCCTCCTTTGCAAAGTAAATTATTCAGAGAGATAATTTCTTTTGTCCAAAAGTTTGCATATAACAAGTTATTACCATCCATTTCACCCTAACTAGACTAAATCTAGGGACCTTATGTGATTCTCACTCATGCCCAATCTTCTACAACCCAGACTATATTTACAAATAAAACAAAAAGAGATGAACAAGACCAGGCACTCTTTGTATAGCCTCCCCACTTCCTATATAGGGCAACATATAACAACCTATGACATAACAAATAACAACAACATTTACAACATTTACATGAAGAGCACTTTTTTATGCCAATGATTTTTCTTCATTCAAATCAAAGGTTCTGAGAGAAAAGAAGGAAAGTGCCACAGCCTTCAAGCGCGGGAGTACACAAGTTGGTACGTTACTCAGGCTTCCAATTGGATTTTTTGGACATTTAGGGAAAATAAGATACATAACAATACTGGATTGTTTCTTACAAATCGACTTTGAAATAAAAGCTAGCGCTAAGAAGTCACGACGTTTCGACCTCTCTGAGGTCATTTTCAAGTGAGTAAGTTTTTCCAAAACAGCATAAATATGTTGAAGCAAGTTGAAGACGATAAAATGTGGCGAATGCTAAAATATGTCAAAAAGTGTAAACAATATACAATGGAAGAGAATAAAAGAATAAAATAATCGTAGCACGAATCGTTGTAAACAAATAGTTTGGCGCGAATTGAATCGCACTGTTTGTTTAGCGTTGGTTTCAAAACGCTAAACAAACAGTGCGATTCAATTCGCGCCAAACTATTTGTTTAGAACAATTCGTGCTACGATTACTTTATTATTTTATTCTTTTATTCTCCTCTATTGAGATCAAATGAGTAAGACTGGAAAGAGGGCCCAGACAGTCACCCACCTGTTGCTCGAAATAGTTCGCAAGTCGCCTTTCATTCCAACAAAAAGCACTGGTGTGTTCGGCTGAAACGATTGAATTTCTGGTAGCCAAACCTCTGTTAAGTTTTCAAAAGATTCACGATTTGTGATGTCAAAACACATCATGAAGACATCAGCGTCGATGTAAGCCAGTGGTCTGACAGACCGAAACACTCCATATCCTCCTGTATCCCAAATGTTTGCCTGATAGTTCCCCAAGCATTCGGTGTCCACGTTTGTAATAAAAGTTTCAAATACCGTAGGAGAGTACACTTCCGAGTGTACATAAGGCTTTTTTAGAAAACTGCAGCCATCAGAAAAAGTTGCATAAAGCTCATGGGATCGAGAAAGCAAACTCGTCTTTCCCACCTTCGAATCGCCAACAAGGACAATCTTCAAAGCGCCTTTGAAGTACTGGAGGAAGGTTGAGGCCATGTAGGTAACCAGGAACTCTACTTAACACTGCTCTAACCATTCTGATCGCCCGGTTTTATAATCCCGCGGACAATACGTTCCACTTCTTTTTAAATGGAAAACGATGCCAAATATAACTCACCGATGACCTAAGAACTAAATTGAGTAGTTGAGCCCGCGCTCACCATCCATCACTCCCCCAATCATAATCTCCCGGGGCAATCCTCAGGAGTTTCTTGCGACCAATCGCCAGTTTGGAAACCGACCGGGAAACCCTGAGGTTGAAAGCTGCACCCAACATGGATGGCCCCAACCTCGAGCCCAGAGTCATTACTTTACTCACTCTAGAGCCTCTGTATCCAGTGGTAGCGCGTCGGAGCGCGCAATCCACTCGTCTGCGGCTCGACTTCTCTAAGGACTCAGAAGTCTTTTCGCTATGCTTCTCTCTTTACAAGACGCAAAAACGTCTTTTTTCTCTGTTCTTACGAGGTCAGTGCTATAAATTGTTATAAAGGTCGACAGCGGGGTAGAAAGCTCGCACCTTAAGCTGACGAAACCGCGCACAGTTATTTTATCAGTCTTCAAAGAAGAAGGAACATTATACCAAAGAGCAAGTTTTATTTTTTACGGTCCTATTGCACTCGATGGCTTCGATATGGGTCTATAAAATACCGAGGAGATTCAGGCAAGCGATAAACGGCTCCATTACAGTCAGTGAGGACGCTTTTTACTCCAAAACTTCCTGACAATAGCGAGAGATAAGATTTCTTTAAGTCGACAGTTCATTTAACAAAATTAAAAGCTCTAGAGACAAACACTTATTCTCATTATCTCGATAGTTTCTATTATTTTCATCATTATTGTTATGTATATAAATGATGCCATAATTTTTTACGGTTTGATGAGATAACACTAAAATGATACCCTATCGCCCAATCAGAAATTGGAGAAGAGACTGAGTGATGGCTGCTGCTTGATAAATAGTTTAAACTACCATCCCCTTATAGTTATCTACGGCAACAGAATTTGTATCAAGAAAGATCCATAAAATAAATCATAATTGAGTTATACGTGCTGAAATCTGTGCTACTATAATCGATACCGCAGACATCGAGGATCATTTAGCGATATGTTTACAAGAAAAAAGATCTTTCAAGCAAAGATAACCTCCTTGGGTACTCCTTTGTACACAACACTGAAAAGTCATTACGAAGTGTAGTTGTTTATTCTAAATAAATATTGTTTGAATTGAAGATTAGATATGAGTTATATCTTATAAGAAAGCCGATCAAACGCTTAAGAAGTTCTTTCGCATGACTTTTGGAGCTCGATTCTTTCTTGTGATGCAGTCAAAATTTGCACGGTGTCGGTCACGTGATGAGGGACTTGAAAATGCTCTGCCACACTTCTCACAGGTGTAAGGTTTGGCTCCTGTGTGCATGTTGATATGAAACTTTAGTTCATATGATTGAGCAAAGGCCTTGCCGCAATATTCACAAACACAAGGCTTCTCCTTCGTGTGAGTGCGGCGCACGTGGCTGTCATGTGCTGCATGTGACGCAAATGCACGTCCACAATGCCTACACTTAAAAGGCTTTTCTCCGCTGTGCTGACGAATGTGTGTCCGAAGAATGGAGGAAGCAGTGAATGCTTTGACGCAATGTGGACACTTGTAGGGCCTCTCTCCGCTGTGAACCCGCATGTGTTTATTGAGGCTGGATGACTGAGAAAAGCGTTTTCCACACACTGTGCACTGGTGCGGACGATGCTTTTCATGAACATGGAGAACGTGGATACGAAGCCGATCCCGTTTGTCAAAGGATCGATTACAGACAGTACATGGGAACTTACGATCGCCTTGATCAACGCAGCGGGTGTATTTAAGGTGGCGGTCACGGTAATATTTGTAGGCAAACACTTTACCACAACGCTCACATGAGAAACTCCCAAAGGCACCTGCAAAAATTCGAGCAAAATATAAATCTCTAGATTAACTGGTAGCAATAAATGTGATAACTTTACTTGGGAGCCTGTAATTGGTTATGGCTACCACACTGTTTAGCTTATTGTAAGTTTCTTAATATTTAGATGATACTAACGATTTTTTTATTTGTCATTCAACATTTTTCTGCTTAGTAATTATCATTTTGTATTTGCTATGCTAGAACTATAGATCATAGATATTATTTACGAGCACCTGCTCCGATGCTTTTTTTTTCTTGCGACAGGATTATCAATTCTAAGAAAGAAGTGATGACAAGCTCTAACTGTCATCATTCTTCAAAAAGTGAGATGCAGGTGGTATCTGTTTGAACCCATAAGCATAGAGATTGACATCGTACCTTGTCCAGTTTCGTTATTCCTTTCCTTGCGTGGTGACGCCTTCATTCCAATCGGAATTCCCATGAACATGTGGTAGCGGTTTCCATACCAAACCATCATTTCTTCCCCATACAAAATCTCACGGCATGATTCATAAAACAGCTGCTCGCCATCTTGAATTAACACAAGGTTTTGCTCTTCATTGTTGCGCGCACAGTTGATAAACTTCATCCAGTTTTCTGTTTCTGGAAGTCCATCAATGTAATATGCAAGGCTGCCATCTTCTTTACATACCTTCGGTATTTGAAAAAGAGAAGAAGAAAAGGCATAAAGAAACCTTTTTTCATATTCACTAAGCCTAAGATAATAAAGTAACATTTTTTTTTATCTTATCAGTGAAATATTATCATTAGAAATACCTAGTAAAGGCAATCTATTTTTTACAAAGCAGATCTCAACATTTCCCCTTATTTCTTCCCGTATTCATTTCCTGTAACAGCTACATAGCTATTCGCAAACCTAACAATTGGTGAAACAAGCGATCCCCTGCAAAGACAAGAGACCAACTCTGTTCTAAGCTGGCGGAAGCCGATTCGAGTCACCATTCTAAAAGATAGACAAAAACATAGCTGCCAACACTCTAAGCATTTAATGTAGCATGAAAACATTTTATTCACCGATCAAGAAAGATTTAATTGATCTTGATGAAACTGCCTATCTTGGCTTTAAATAGAAATGGACGTTCCGAAGTTCTGCGAAACGAGGCCGGCGATAAAGTTATTGGAAAATACCAAAAAAGAAAGCGCTCGTCGCTTAAGCTTGTCCAGGTAGTTTCAAGAAATCTAGTCAGACGAATTTCTTACAAACGGAATCATTAACAGGATTTTACCATTTGTAGTTATATTATTCTTACCTCCCACAAGTACGCATTATCTTCACCTTCTTTAACCTGTGAGGGTTGAATCACCCTGCCGCGGTAAGGACCAAACCGAGTGCCTTTGGAGATAGAAGCGCGACAGCTTACTACTGCAAACTGATGCGGTCCTTTGTTCAGAACGCGAATACCTTGTGGCAAGTACAGGGCTGATCTGGCTGTTTGATAACCAAGGTGACCCTCAAGGCTGTACTCTGTAGACTGAGTGGAGGGAAGAAACCAGGAAGGCAGCGGCTCTGAAAAGGTGCAAATACTTTGAACTGAGTTGAAAGGTATCCGTTCAGTACATTTTAAGGATTCCATTGTGTTATGTAGGCCGACCAATTATCCAACAGATCTATACAGAAACGATATAGCTGGGCAGTAAGTTTATGGAAAAAATGATAAAGCTCTCTATATTACACTACTGTCCATAATCAATTCCTGCCCACCTGCGAGGTCTGTTAATGTTAATTTTTTTCTTTAACCTAAAGTAATTATGTCATGTAGATTTGGAAAAAAGCCATATTTTGCGGGGTATGAACCTCCAAAAAATAATTGTCATAGATTGATATAATTGACATAGTTTCACTTTTTTGAAATTATTCTATCTTGCAAATAAAGGTTTGAAAAACTTGCAGATGGACCTTGAAATAAAGTCAATTAATGAACGGAATGCGATGTATTAATCGCCTTCAAGACTTTAACAAGGTAATCAACGAAGCCCATCCCACTCTTGCTTAATATTATTTTGTGCGATGTGTTTGGAAAGAGAGAGCGATTTTACAACTTACACAACTTTATTAAATTCAGCTTAATTCGTTTCCTTGCTCAAAGTCAGTTTATTGTAAATTGTAGGTTGTTTATTGCCAAAACGCTAGAGACATCAGACACAAGTGATACTGTAGTGATATCCAACGCATTCATCAAAACATCTACACGTGAACTCTAATTTAAATGAATTATTAGCACTAAATTTCTACCTTAGCAATTCGTTTATAAAACCACGCTAATCCTGGCAGACCGATTAGTTTAAATTGATTTCAAGAGTCTAAAGAGCATATCAATAAGTTACTTAAAAACGTGGTTTTTATTGATTATGAATTTCGGCTCAGCAGTACGATTTTCAAGTTCTCTTTGATTCGTGTTGAAAATATTCAGGTAACCTTTCACGAGTTCCGTTTAGCCGGTAGATTTTAAAAAGTGAAAAACATTACGACGTCCGCAGACATTTCCGGCGGTGACAACTGCCCTCCCAGTTGTCCCTATTAGAAGTCCTGAATTTCAGTTCGTATCTATGCTATTGATCTTAAAGCCGCCGAAAAGCTAATTTTGTCTTTAAAAAAAATGGAAACGGTACACACCGTACCCCTGAACTTAGATGTTTTATATTAAAGAGACAACCGCTATTGCAATCGAATCTTAGGTACTGATCCAGCTTAACAACCAACTAAACGGCGATGTACGCGACCGTCCATCATGATTTTTGTCCTCACCTCCCACTATTTTTTTATACATACATAAGCGGTTTTTAATTCACACTTCTTCCTCAATCACAACCCTAAACACCGGCATCCGCTTTTTATTAACGGAAGGTCCACATGCCGATGTTTGTATCAAATAAAACGAGTTCTCATAAGTATATGATTCATGATAAACACAAAATAAAACGCGCTTGAAGAAATGTCAGCTATGTGAAAGGGAAAGCCAACTGAAGTTTCCTTTCTGGTTTAGACCGACCTCCGAATAATATTTCAAAAGTTTCATAAGGACACAAAAGTCAATAGTTTGGCAATTGCAAAAAATTGGTTCTTGTTTATCATAAAAACTGATAATGGTCACATTGAAAAGACTTAGTTAAAAGTCCTAGCGGCCCACTTAGGGCAAATATCAGTTATAAGCAGTAATACTTAGTTAGCACAATAACTAGTAACACTTGTGTACTACAGTTCAGCCGATCGTGCAGTTACAAATTTGTTTAATATCAATGGCAAAAGCCCAGCAAACCTCAAAGAGGCTGACATCTTTGAGATTATATTGTTGTCTAGAACAAGCCTATGCCATCCATAATCACCGTGTCAGTTGTTCAAGGCCAAATATAAGGTTGTCTGTTCTGAAATGAGATTGTTAATGAAGACGACGAAGATGATACTGCTTTGATGCTGATGGTGATTTAGCCGTGAATTTCAATAAATTGCATCGTGCGCTGCTCCTCCCAGGTATTGTTAGACTAATATGATAGCTTTCAGACAGGAAACGTTTGGAAGATACTGGTACTCACTTCACAGCAAAAATTTAGCCATACCAGTTTGAATCATGTCCCTAACTGCTTCCTTCCTGCAGTGTTTGTCCTTTCGAGATCGCATGGGAAAGCTCTTCAACAAGATATTTTGAAGAAGCCGTAAAAATTAATTTGCGAATGAAATACTTGATCTAAATGTCAAGCCACTGGACATGCTAATCATTCAGAACCTGTTAGGTACGTCGAGAGAAAAAATTTCCCATGATGCGTCTTTGTTAGGTGAGCTATTCATAATATCACAGCGTCTACCGATGAGCATAGTGATGACTATAGTGATTAGTATAGTGATTAGTATAGTGATTAGTATAGTGATTAGTATAGTGATTAGTATAGTGATTAGTATAGTGTAATATCAGTCACGCTTATTTCCTAGTTTCTAATTTCATGTCTTATTTCAAACTTTAGTGAAGTTTTTTATAACTTAAATGAAAACAATAATCAATTGTTGCATAACGTACTTTTTCATCATGATAACAAAAACGACTGATTTTTCATTTGAAGTAGTGGTGGTCGTAATGTTGAAGATGAACGCTTGTTGTTTACATGCTGTTAGTGTACTTTAATGGTACTCCAGATTTCCATAATTGATAAAAATGGATGTAGCCATGGAAGATTTTGGATGAGGTACGAAAATTTTTGATGAAGATGCCTCAACTTTTATTCGGCCGCTATATTGTTGGAAGGTTCACCTGAATTCTCCCGTGTCTCTTGAGTTGAAATCAGTGAAATGAATGTTTTGTTGAGAATTTACGTTTGACTGAAGTTTGATCCTCACTTTGAAAGCCTGTATCAAACGTTCTCATTAGTGGTAAAGTTTCCCGAGTTTAGCGTCATCACTGATAAAAGGAGACTCGTGTAAATAGATTGCAGCTGCCTACCTTTTATTTATGGAAAATTGGAATTGGAAAACATAGTTCAAAGCTGATTAGATCTATCATCAGACGTTTGAATAACATTTAAAAGATGGGATAATCAATAAAAAGTCTTTGATGAAAAATGCACAAATATGTAAACAGGACCGATATAACGCACCGAAAACTAAAGGTATTGCTGTAATGACTGTCCAATTAGAACAAATTAGAAAAATTCTGCACAGTTACGCCCCTTTCATGCCCAACAATAACATACATTAAAACATGGGCTTTTTTCTCGTTTGAGAAACCACGTACTAACCTCTCTGTTTATCATTTAGAGAGACGAACCGTTTTGATGGTCTCTCCAGACTCATATCTTCTCAGTATAAGAAAGTGCACTTGACCGCTAGTCTCCTCGAGGTTTTTGCCACATTCTAAAACCAACTTAGCCTCCATGCAGAAAATCACAACAATAAATGTCATGTGCTCGGGTAAAAGCAGCGATCAAACTTTAATGAAAGCAATTTCCCTAGCTAGAGGAAAAGTTAGTTCAGGGTCAAACATCAAATCCATTTCTTAAACATGTATAATATTTTCGAAGGTTTCTGTATCCTCAAAAAATAAGAAAATCACCGTTGCTCAGTGTGTTTGGGCCAAGAATAATATCACAAACCTTTATAGGTAACTTTTTCTCGGTAGAAAATAATTTTCCCAACAATACAGCCATTGCTAGCCATAAGTTTAACTGTCACCTTGAAAAGAAGAAATTCTCTCCGTTGAATCAGTCTCCAAGAAATCCTTACGTTCGACAAATGATCCAGGGCATGCACTTTGAATAACAGCCTGCCTGATCGAACCAGATTTGAGGTCTGCTTTCTTCACGCTGCCACATTTATGTGGATGACTTATCCTTAGAGTCTGCTTTGGGTCTACAACGGTTCAACAAAAGGAGAAAATTTTAGTTTTACATGTAACGATTTCCATCTGCCTTTGACCACAGAATATACGGTCATGATTTAATCATAAGTCATTTCATATTTATTCGAATTATAAAAAACTGCAACCGTCTATCAAGTTTGTTCTGTCATTGTCTTCAAGCCGAATTATATTTGTATAAATTAAAAAGTCAGTTTTATATTTACCTACATTGCAGCAACGCAGAAAAGAGGCGATTGAGAAACTGGAAACTTTTTCGCCAGACATTGGCATGGGGCTTGTTATAGACTGAGCATGAGGTAGTTTGTGAGCCATTCTTGAAAATTCAACAGCAACTGTGATTAGTGTAATATATCACGGTCAAGGTGACGGTTAAAGTTCCCACAGAACGTTTAACACTTTTTCTTCGTTCAGCTGTAAAATCTAAACGATTAACGTAATTAAACTAGTAACACAAAAATACTACTCCACAGCCTGCCAAGTTAAGTCATTGTTATTGCTTCCAATTCAAGTTATTCCTGCTTTGATCGCCACATCTCTAACTTAACTGATTGGAGAGCTACTTTTCTGTCGCATCACTGTGTGTGGTGACAAACTTTGCGGTTGCATTTCATACTTGTATTACGCATGCCTCATAAAAAAAAAAAAAACAGAATCCTTAAAAAAGTCTTAGTAAGACTGACCTGTTTGTCACAGGGTAAATCTCTTTGACAAGGCAAAAATAAATATAAAATTCAGAGAAATTCTAAGGAGTTCCCCAGTGGATACAAAAGTACGTTGCTTGTGAGACGCTGTTTGAACGAGCGAACCATATTCTGTATTAAGGTGTAAAAATCTATAACAAAGGTGACATTGTGGCCTATTATTGAACAGGCTTCATGAACGTGGCAGGAGAAACTTGGGCGGCCACCAAGGATATCCTTAGGCTAATTGGAAAGTTAATCAGATACTCTTAATCTGTTTTCTCTCTCTAGGCATACGATAGAACCGGTGCTATACGCATAGTGGAGAAAGTTAAAGAATATTTAGAGAGAATAGTTCTTGTTCCCTTTGCAAAACAGTGTAATCTTTGAGTGGGTAGAGACCTATGTTTGTCCATTTTTTTTCGCAACAAGAGAATAGTGGGGTAACAATCACATGGCTGAAGAAAAGGAAGAAAACACAATCATGATTTTCAATGCACTAAGATTTTTCTGCCTTTGATTATTTTTCTTTTTCATGCTGTGTTTTGAAGTGATTCGTAGCGCTTTTGCATATTTCCTTGTATCATGTTATTTAAACAATATTTTTGGCACTTTTAAAGCCCAGTGGCTTATAGTTGTGGGAAAACATCCAGAAGTGTTTGGCAAAAAGTGACCGGGAATGTTCCTTATCTACACAATGTTTGCATATAACTATTTACACTCTTGGGTGAAGCGAGGCTGTGAAAGTGCGTGAACAAAGAGTAAAGCGACAAAAATCACGGAGAGGACTTGAATGCCAGCTTACAAACTGACTTCAAGTTACTAGGCCGCTCCCTCCAAGGAAGGTTGAATGGATACAGCCAGGGGTTAAAGAGCTTCTTCAGCCTTGCAAGGCAGTGACATACATTTAATATTTTCCAGGGAAGGACTGTTTAAACAAAGATACCTTCCGTTCGACTGCAACCGTTGGACAGGGAAGATGAAGGGTGGGAGGGGGGTGGGGGTGGGGGAAGGAGAGGTACCGTTCTGAGTTGTGGGTCTCTGTTTTTTAGTCTGGTTAACCAATTCGAAAATGTTTTAAACATATTGCACGACTATATGATTTCAGAAGTACTTCCACTGTTTATCATCCGCGCATTTGTTACTATTTGTCGGGAGGAAAACCAACACATACTCGAGGAAAACCTTTAAAATGGCCCTGCCGTGATGCGTACATATATTGTCTTAAGCTTAAAACTTATTTGATTATCTTGATCTGAAACATACGTACTCACTATTTCAATATTTCAGTGTCCCCTTCTTGTTCAAAAATCAAGAAGTCCCTGGCACGTGGTCTACATTAAGTGTTGGAAAATGTTTTCCAACGCACTAACCCTTCATGAACGCTCAACATATCATTACTTTTCCTAAATGATAAACTACAATGTATCACAATATTCACGTAACCTATATTGGCTCACCTGGCATCAGGCCTGGTCCTAATCCGAGAGGTGCTATATTTCTGGGTTTTTAGTAAATTATCAAGTGCCTCAAGGGAAACAACTAATTCACTGTAAAATAAAAGGTCTCACGCATTGCGCCAAGATTACCTAAATGATGTTTGGTACCTAACAGGTTCTACCACACCCCCTAACAGCAAGGTTTATGTATGTAAATATTAAAATAAGCCGAGTACTTAGTACACCAGAGGTCAGTGAAGCTCAGCTCAAGATTACTCAGTTTATTACTCGAGTGAAAGTCAGAGTTTACTTCCGCTAATGATCAACCCATCCACGTTATGTTTTTTAAAAGCTGACTTCATTTAAAACAGTAAGAAATAAACAAATTGATATTACCCTCTCTTTACAGAATGAAATTATTTCTTGTTAATTAAAGGAGTTTTTGTATTTCCCCACTGAAAGACATCCTCAGTGGCAGGTGAAAAAAGAATGAAATGGAAGTAAAATAGGATTGAAGGTTTTTATGTTAGTGCAGGGGTATATGGTATCATAGTAGTTTTCTTCTTTGATGAGAAAGGAATTTTTTTTCAATGAGATTGACTCACCAGTTGTTAAGTGGCAATATTTCGAGGTGTCAAGCAATAATTGCCACGCCCATCTTGTAATGGAACCGTGATTACTATTCTATCAACGCTCTGTAATTAATGCAGGGTCTTTATTTCTCTGATTATGAAACTTAAATCTTTTCTTTGTTTTTATACGTTTGTAGTATACACACTCACACAAAATAAATTTCTTCCGTAGCCTATCCCCTCAATTAGATCTTCGAATTTAAACTGAAAACATATTGAATCTAGTCATCCGTCCAGTGTGACCGCTTTGGAGGGTTCTTGGTCACGTTTATGGTAATAATAATGATAATGATGGTAATAATGATAATAGTTATAATAATCAGTGTAAGAACTTCGGGTTATCTCTTGTCAGGTGATCACCGCCTTACCTATCTCTCCACTGAATATTAAGTTCTGGGTTTGTCTCCATTTTCGCCCCACGGGAAGAAGGAATTGGTCCTCGGCCGTGAGTTAGTCTGGGATCAGACAGAGTCATTGGCTGCAGGCTGGCACAACCTACTGAACCAGATTTAAAATCCTTTAGTCTTAAAATTTAATATCATTCTTCACAACAGTCCTCGAGCCTCTGTTTTACACGGACCTTCCGCACAAAAGGTGACCGTAGCAAGACTGTGAAGACAGGTTTCTTTGGTGGAAGGTTATGAGTTTTTTTTTTCTTCCATGTGGGTTTGTATGGGTCACAAGTAGATGGTGCTCGTATTCCTCGTAAACTGCCACCAGAGGACGGGCAGTCATCATTTGACCGAGTACTGTTTGACTTTTTATGGAGAGGC